GTCAATGTCCTCTTTAACACCTTCCACTATTTGCATACATTTTCCCATTAAGATGGTGTTGTAGCAAATGAAAAAAGATGGTAATCTGATGGTACCATATCTGGAGAATATGGTGGGTGGGGGAGAACTTCCCAACCCAACTCCATATTCTCGTGTTGTGTCAAACGTGCCACATGTGGACGTGCATTGTCATGGAGAAGAACACCACCTTTCTGATTGATGAGTGCAGGGCGTATCTGATCAAGAGCTTGATTTAAATGTTCCAATTGCTGACTATAGATCTCTGCCTTGAAAGTTCACTGTGGATTGGGGAATTTGAAATGAATTATTCCTTTGACATCCCACCAAATGCAAAGCATCATTTGCTGTGGATGGAGTCCAGGTTTTGGGGTCGGAAGTGGTTTTTGTCAAGGAATGAGGCATTGTTTTAATCGTTTAATATTTGCATATAGAATCCATTTTTCATCATCAGTGACAATTTTATCCAAAAATGGTTCACGAGCCAGAAGAGACGATGCAACATTCACACGCTGGTAACAATGAACATTGGAGAGTTCATGAGGCACCCAAACACCTTCTTTATGAAATTTTCCCATATTCCTTAGATGTTAACGCATCATTTCATGAGAGACATGTAATTTAAGGGCCATTTCACAAGTGTGTTGCCTTGGGTTTGACTCAACATGCATTTTCAGAGCATTAATATCAATTCCAACATGTCGGCCCCTGCCATCACAGTTTTTAAGGCAAAAGTCACTTGAACGAAATTTACTGAACCATCGTTGACACTTACGAACGTTCAAAACATTTCCGTAAACTTCTTTGATATTCTTTGTAGCTACAGAGGCATTGTTTCCATTCTTGTATTCAAACAGCATTACGTGTCGAATGCGTATCTCATCGTGTGCCATCACTATTAGGGATTAGAGTATACTAAACTTTACACATTATATAGGCTACACTAACGTGACGTTTAGGCCATTTGTTTAACTATTATACGTGAAGTACGTTTTTTGGGGGTGGTTTAAGAAAGTGTTCCAAAACGTGACACTAATTTCTTGACGACCTAATACGTAATTAAAATTTGTTTTGATGCTTGAAAATATTTGAAAAGAAAACAAGACACAGAAGATTAAAATATAAAAATACTATATTAGGCTACATATCTATTAGTATTTAATAGATTAATTAATGAATTATGATACAGTTATATCTAATTTTAGAGAATAATAATATTGTTGCTAGTGGCAGTCAAAATTCTGCTAGTGGAAAAAATAACAAGTGCCATCAAAAGTTAAGTTCATGACCTGAAAGAGTAATTTTTACATATACACTGAATATAATTCAGTTTTCGGCCTTTTCATCAAATGAGTAGACTAAGTTTAGACTTATTTAAATATTAATTTCATATAACTGTATTAATTTAGGAGGTATAAGTTATGTTATTATTTGATATAACAGGGATTATTTTATTAAGATGCTGCGATTATTATTCTAGGAGATTTAAATTGTATGTTGCATAATAATAGGAGGATTATTTTATTAAGATGTAGTAATTTGTATTGTTTAAATGTCATATGAATTTTGTCCTATTATGATGCACTTTATTTTCAATGTTCCAAAAATTTAATGCAATAGTAAGGGAATAGTTAAACTTCTTACATAGGTGAGTGATATCTTTCTTAATTATACAAATTTTAACATTCTTGTCAAAGTAATACAAGTCCCTTGCTTTTTCTTTTCTTTTTCCAACATTTACGAATTCCAGTTGCATTTTTTTTTATAGTTTATTGTAGAACTGGAATGGATCATTTAGCATCCCTTACTCCTACAGTAAATTATATGCTAAAATTATGACATTACATATAAGTATAAGAATAGGTGAAAGGACTTTGTTGGAATTATACTGAGTTCAACAACAAATATACAAGATAAATAATAAATACATATATATCTGTTAAATAAAATATAATAAAAAGATTAATAATAAAGTATCAAATTGAATTTCTGTTCAATAAAATCTTTCAAATGCAACTGTAGCTTTTTTTACCCCAAAACTTTGCCTTCAAAATAAGGGTGCATCTTATATTCCGAAACATGCGGTACTCTTGTATACCACATGTCATTTTCAAGGGTATGCTGTTGTACGTTGAAACTAGTTGGGGAATTACTTTATATTTGTGTTGTTTTTGTACTTAACTTGGGCATAAAAAGCTTAATATTTATAACATTTAATTAAAGCAAATTAAAAAAACAGAAGTCTTGTAGCTGGTATGATAGTAGAGATTTGTAAACACAATGTGTGTCTTCAGCATATATTATCAATATGTAATTCCCTTGCTTTTGTTTATAATTCTAGAAAGGCTTCTTCAAATTGCTATTTTAAAATATTTCTTTTTAATTTCAAAGTTTAATATCTGTTTTTTTATTAGGTTGAGAACGGTTCAGTAGTTAGTGTGCCAGACTAGTGAGCTGAGGTTCTGTAGTTTGGGTCTCATGACTGTTAAAACCAAATCATACTACTCACTTTGGGGCTGTAGGTGCATTAAAAGAATGATTGTCAAATCCCACTATTTGGTTTGAAAGGAGTAGCTTAAGAGTTGGTGGTGGATGGAGTTGACTAGCTGTCTTTTCTCTAGACTATCATTTCAAAATGTGTTGTTTTTTCCTGACAGAATTTGAGCATAAGTAATGGTTAATCTTAACATTTGTAGGTAACACAAAGTACTGCATAATTTGATTGACTGCTTTAATCATTTTGATTTCTGTGTAAATCTGTAAAATCTTACCACTTCTTCTGTAGAGGGGTCGTAACCTTGATACTGTTCTTTAATAGCTTGCTGGTGTTTCTTCCCAAGCAAGTGGCTCAACAAATAAACTTCGGAACCAATCTAAAAAAATAAAGTTAAAAGATGGAACTGAGTTTAAGGAATTTTTCCTACAAATATGGGATATTTATGTAAAAATCTATAAGTCATGTGGTCAGAAAAAATATTCTTTTTGTGTTTTTCTTATGCTCTTTACTTTATATATTGAATTGGGCTTGTTAAAATGCTTATTATTAATGTGTTACTATTCTGTAAAAGAGCAAAAATAATCTTTCCATAAATTGATGTAGTTCATTCATTAAAGAAGACACAAATATATTGAGCACATTCATATGGATAATTGTTTTAAAACTGTTTTAATAACAATTCACATATTCATTGTAAAGAAACACAAACTGATATGAAAAATTCATGAAATCCAAGTAGATAAAATGTGGTTTTAGTATATTTGAAAATTTTTTCCAACCAGTGATTTTTCAGAATACGTCTCTCATCACTCTTTTTCAGCTATATTATGGAAGAAATATAACAAATACACATAATGACTGGAAGTTTATTTGAATTTCCCTTAACAACTGATAAACTTTGTAAGCTTATCAATAAAAATAACTGAAAGCTTATCAGAAAAAATGTGTCTATAAATGTGACCACAAGTTCTCATGCTACAAAAACAACAACATGAAACTTAAAACATCTGTTACATATTTCAACATACGTTGATGAAAAACTGTTGCTTGTCACAACACAGCTACTTATATTACAAATAACCTTTCTGAGAAAAGCTTGCAGGGTGTTATGTTTTATGCTATGTGTTATGTTTCTAGGCTGAGAATAATTTTGCTGGGTGCCATGTTTCAAGGCTGAGAATAGTTTGCTGAATGCTATGTTTCTAGGCTGAGAATAGTTTGCTGAATGCTATGTTTCTAGGCTGAGAATAGTTTGCTGAATGCTATGTTTCTAGGCTGAGAAAAGCTTGCTGAATGCTATATTTGTAGGCTGAGAAAATCTTACTGGGAGATATATTTGTAGGCTGAGAAAATCTTGCTGGGAGATATATTTGTAGGCTGAGAAAATATTGCTGGGAGATATATTTGTAGGCTGAGAAAAGCTTGCTGAGTGTTATGTTTCTAAGCTGAGAAAAGCTTGCCGAGTGTTATGTTTCTAGACTGAGAAAAGGTTGCAGAGAGTTATGTTTCTACTCAGAGAAAAAATTGCTGGGCCTGGCATGGTGGTTAGAGTGCTCATCTCGTAAGGCTTATGTTACTAAGTGAGAGCAAAAAAGTTTGCCAGAGGCTAAAGTATCTCTCTTGATGATACCATTATATTACCCACAGGAACCCATTGATGTGTGTCGACATGAATAATAAATAGTAAAGAATATAAGAGAAAAATTAAACATTAAAAATAAACTATAAGTAAAGAGGTAAAGATGTGAAATTGTGCATTTGACCCCAAGAAAATATTCTAAGGTTTTTTTGATGAAGAGTTAAAAAGGTCCATATTTTTATTTCTTAAATTTAAACATTTCATTTGCACTGTATGTTGATGATAATAGCTACAATGAGCAATGTGGTAGAGAAAATGAAAACTACAATATAAACATTTGTGTTGAAAAAGTTTTGATGTTCATTTAGGTGGTTCTAGAAATTTTAATCAAATTTGAAAACTGTTTGACAAAAAAGTATATATATTTATCATAAAAATCACCTTGCATTTGAACTATTCAAATAACTATAATAAATAACAAATTCTTAGTAGAAGTAGTAGAAAAAATGCAATTAAACATCTTATTTTTCTCATACCACTAAGAAAGTTCCTGTCAAATTTCAAAATTTCATCCACCAGTTTTATTTTTGGAATGAAACATTACAAGAGTTATGTAATGTCCTTGCAAAGTAAGGAACTAGTAACCAAAGGATTAAGGAGAATCACTGTGCATGGAGGTTATGTTGTCCTCCTAGTAATGAAAGGCTTTTGTCTCATGATATCATGCACCAGTGCAGTACATGTTAAACTCATATATTTTAGGGAAGTACTAGCTTAAGGATAGTGGCATGCAACTTTCATAGGCAAACATGTGAGGGATGTTATAATTTCCCTATACTAAAAATGTATTTCCGATAGGTACTTCCCTCCTCTCACAAGATTAGTTATTTTTGTTCATTGCTGCCCTCTACAAGCAAACTTTTTATTACTCATGCCACAAGCCTTCTGCACCCTCCTATTGGAATCAAATGATTTCAAAGTGTCTCTCATGCAAATCATCATGCGTCACCTTTCCACCAATAGGAGAATAGTACATTCATGTGATGCATGTGACTCCCTCTATGCACCTCTACTGAACTATCACTTTGAAGTTTGGCAGACGATGGAAGCACTGGGAGTGGGGAGGAAGAATGGGAACTATGAGAGGAGGGAAGTACTTATCGGAAATAGATTTTAAATACAGGAAAAATTATAACATCCAATATGGTACTTACCTCCTATCACAAGGTTAGCTAGAATCCCACATTGATTAGGAGGGTGGAATGGTGTGAGGGAAGAACAGACATACCTCCCCAAAATCATCCAAAGGATACTTCTGTAGATGAGAGAGTCAGATTCGAAGAGAGTAACTGCACCACTTCTGATCCAAGTATACTCACTTTTGATTCAGGTATACTCTTCGGCCAATGTAGAATGTGTAAGAAAGCACAGCGGAAAATGAGAGAAGTACATCTAAGTGGGAGAAAATATGGTAGGAAAGTGATCCTAACCATGAAAAGATATAGTAACTCAGTCTCACAGTAAAAAAGTGGGTAAATGAAAATGTGTCCCATGGTGTAGAGTGGCTATGGCATGGCGGACCATACTTGGTAAGTCAACTACATCCAAAATTTCTCAGGGTACCGACATCTGCACGAGGGTAGGATGAGGATCATACCATCTTCACCTCAAACCCAAAAACTGGGAAATTGAGAACCACTCCAATTCCTGGGTATTACATAGGATTAGCTCTGAGCTATAGATCCAGGAATTTGACACCCAATACCAAAAGGAAGTCTGTCGCATGCAATCAACACCTGTAACAATGAAACAGGTCAGGACCATCCAAAAGGCAATAACATCCATGTAATATAAGAGAGCAAAGGATACAACTGGAACAATCCCACATATCCCTGCTGTGACCCACAACACAGAAGGAGGAAATCAAGGAAGGAATATAGACAACCCTAAACTTGTGTGAGGACTTATGTTGATTGGTTCACTTGAAATCCAAAACCAGCCTGTGGGATACTGCCATCCATGCAAGGGTAGGATGAGGGCTCCCAATCTGTCAGAATTTAAAATATATATTCTTCTTTTTGCCCATTGTCAAAATACAAAGGCTTTTAGTTATATCTCTTAATAATATAAATATATATATACTATGTTGTTGGGCTAAAGATTCTTCTACAGTAGGTATCTGTGACTTGTTAGTGATAAATTCAACTATGAATAAACAGCATGCACTTCATTTGTTTTCAAAATATTATATATATATTCATAACAAGTTAAACGTATGTACAACAAAGTCTTCACACTATAGAGATTATAGGCATATCATAAACACTATATATATAATTCTCGTCTTGTTGTCAAAAGTCCACTTAGACCTATTCAATTACTTTAGAATTTCAGTTGACAAGCCGAACTATCTTCTCTATTACTATCGCACTAGTATTTTGTGTGTGCACGATTCACTTACAATTGTGGCACGAGTTATTGTAATCATTTGGTCTTCTTTCTTCAAAATATTCTCTTTTCCTTTTGTCAAAGTGCACTCAGGCTGATTCAATTATTTCAGAACCATGCTTTGATGGAATAAATTATTTTTCTTAGTTCCATTTCTACTGTTAGTCTTACTCTAACATATTAAATGTTAGGCCTATCACTTCCACGGTAGTTAACTTCATACTGAACATTTTCTTTTGTAACTTTACTTTGTTCTACAATTATCTGTCTGCTATTTCTGCTCGTCTCATGCTATTCATATCTTTATCACTTAATCGTCTGCACACCTTCTATAATCTCAATGTCAATGTATTGCATGTGACGTTCAATAATCTCAACATCAATAAATGATTAACAAATCATCTGCTTTTAACCCTAAACAAAATCTAAACAAAAATAAAATATTCACTTACAAAAATAAATTAATAATATCTAAACTAAACAGTCTCTTATATCATGACACAATCAAAGGGGTTAACTGCATTTTGACGTCTCAATCTGTGGTATGGTTAATCGCAAATCAGAGGATATTACATTATCTCTACCAGCAGAATACCACTGTCTTACTCTGAACTGAATAGTTATAGCCATTGTATGTGGAACCCATTCAGGAGGGTGTCTTCATGGTCGCCCACCCTAGTAGCTGGGAACTGGTAAGTGGTAAGGACTCCCATACTCCATTAGAAGAGAGGAAGGTGAATATGTGGTGGAGAGTCCAGAGGAACGTCATCACCGAAGAGAGTGAATGGGTGACCATGAAACCCTATTTTGAAAAGCAGACTATACCGGTTTATTCAGTCGATACATGGCAGGGATGAGCAACTATTTCCTTCTGCTTTACCCATGAAATCTATGGGTGGTACAGTCTGGGACAGGCCAATTTATGAAGCAAATATCACAAGGTTATTCACCTACAAGCAATCTTGTGAAACACCCCATCTTAAAGGTGAGCATGCGAAGTAATGTAAAGGAAAATGCTACTCAGCATGGAATACAGTGCAGATTTAGAATTAAAGAATACCTGGTCAGGCACGACTCGCCACAGAGTGGGATCCATGTAATGGAGGGTAAAAGGGGAGAGATCTCTGGATGAAGAGGGTTGCCACGGGATGAGACGAGAATGGGAACCACTGAAGGAAGCCATGAGGACAATATAACAATGAAGGGCACGCACAGGATGTAGAAGTCTATCCTGACTGGGATGTGGGTAAAGATGATAAATAGAGGGAAGGGAAAGAGGCAAAAAGGAGGAATTACCCTCACAAGCTTCCAAGGTTTTGGGAAGGAAGGAATGATCCAGATAAAGGAGA